TCATACAAAATGTATACTGCGCAAAAAAAAACTTGACCACTTTTATATCTTGATTTCAGAACTTATTAAGGCTACAGATTTATTAGGAAGAATACTATTCACTTCCAGTATGTATAAAGGTTCAGAAATTTGTTACGAAATATGAACTCAATACATCAAACGTACGTAACATTTAAGGTTTGTAAAAAACTATTTTTAAGGGGATTCTACTCTACTCAGTAACTTTAACAATCAAAAAAGTGTTTTTTTCACATTCGTATCCTTGTTTAAAAAGGGAAGCCCAAGAAGTGGTGACAACTTTTCCTGTGGAAGTTGTGTTAAGGAAATGATCAATACTCTAGAAGTGCGTTTTAGAAGCTCAAGAATAATCCCACACGAAATTATCTGTAACGTTACAGAATTACGTACAGAGCCACATTAATTAGGTTTCTTAGAATTTGCAAGCAATCAAAAAAAAAAAGTAAATGCTATGGAGACTTTAAACGACAAAATGTTTTTATCTAGTGCTGAATTAACTAAAGAAATAGTCAAAAAACTTCCTGGCTCATTGCTTAGTGATTAAGTGTGTCCTGCTACAATTAAAGATATCGAAAAATCTAATTAAAAAAAATTAGTGATATTTTTTATGCAATAAAACAAAAATTAATTTTGAGGTGGCTATTATTAAAGTGCCTTCTCACAGTTTAACACGTAAAACAGAGATGTCATAATGAAGGAGGGCTGCACATACAACTTATGTGATAGACTCTAGTAATTCTAATTCTATTGATGAAAAAAATGACAATAAGAAGTGTCTTTTGCTGGCAAAAAAATTATCTGATAACTGATAGTAAAGACTTGTTAAATATTCCCTTTTATAAGCGTTGAAATGTTGCATGTAAATAACGCCAATATTTTAACTGCTTTTTGCGACAGGGAGCATATACGCGAGAAATCTAAGGGTAACGGATACAATATATGTAAAGGGGAGCATCAGTCAGTACTACACTCTGATAAATTTATCAGAGATACTTAATTTAAAGATCCATCACAAAAAGAAAGTGTCAATTCCGCAAAGCAAGTAGTGTCCAAAAAATGTTAAAATTATACTACTTTTGATAATTCATTCAAGATTATCAAAATTTATTTACGCACTTATTGACGAGGTGGTTACGATTACCATAATTATTACTAACGTGATTAAAAATCTTAATATTTAATGTTTAAGTACGAGAGTTTTATTGTAAGGTATCGGAGATGAGATAGCAGTAATTTTATCAAAAAAAGTCTTTTTAAAAAATTAAAGAAAATTCTGTGATTTTTATTCTTAGAGATGTATAAGTTGTAAATAATCTTGCTTTTTCGGTAAATATGTGAGTTCTGAACTATCTAAGTATTGCTAAGAAAGAACGAATATTTTAGTTGAACCTTTTAAAAAAGCACCTGACGTGACTATAGGTCAAATTCATATTGATTTAATCATCACTCGTAAATTGTACTTTTAAGATGT